GGAAATATATCAGACTCTTTACTATAGCAAGGAGTTCCCTCCGTGTTACACAGTAGCTCCTTTCTGGAACAAGTGGCATTTCTTGAGATGGAGTTTGAGGTTTGCTGCTTTCAAACGCTTGAATACTTCCTCTAGCCGGGATATTTTCTCATCAAACATTGTTGCAAACACAATGACATCATCCAGGTACACTGGAGCTATCCTCCATTGTTGGCCTTCCAGTACTCTTTCCATCAGCCTCTCAAATGTAGCTGGAGCATTGCTAAGCCCAAATGGCATCACACGGTATTGCCAGAGACCTTGGCCATAACTAAATGCAGTCTTAGGTTTATCTGCTTCAGCCATTTTCATTTGATGGAAACCCGACTTTAAGTCCAGAGTTGAAAACCACCTGGCTTTACTTAGGGCATCAAGAGTATCATTTATTCTTGGCAGTGGGTATGAGTCCTTTTCAGTTATACTGTTAAGAGCCCTGAAGGCCACAAAGCAATATTGGGTCTCATCCTTCTTCTGGACTAACATGACGAGAGCTGACCAGGGCCTAGCTGATTTCTCGACTATCCCTTTCTTAATTAGGCCATCCATGACCTTCTCCTTCTCTTGTCTCTTTGCTGGAGCTATTCTTCTCAGAGGGTTCTTTATTGAACGGTGATTGCCTGTGTTTATTCTGTGCTCTAGAAGGTCTGTGCAGCCGAGGTCAGTTAAATGTTCTGGAAGAGGATGTCCTTTCTTTATGGTCGTATTTCATGCCTTGACATTGACTGGTTCTACCTCCTGGCACACACCCAACAATGCCCCTTCCTTAAGTGTCTGCTCACATTTAGGTTAATTGGCCACTGTTATGGGTACTACTTGATGACCTGCCACAAGTGACCTTCCAATCTTCACATCCGCTGGCCTGGATGGGTCTTCCACTGCTTCCACAAGCATCTGGCTTCCTTGAGGATGTTCTTTTATTCTACCCCAAATTATCTTCTCTGACATAGGGGGTATTGTAGTTGACTTAAGTGCTGTGACATGCAAATCAACAGATGCAGCAACACTTACTGGAATTTGGCTTTTGTTGTTCCCAATCGTCATTTTATCGAAATTAATTACACACTTCCTCGGTAGTAAGTAGTCCAACCCTAATATGCATAGGTCTTCATTATCAGCCAAGTGTACTTTGTGTCTGTCTTTCATGCCCATGAGCTCAATAGTTACCCACACTGGTCCCCCACAACCTTGCATAATGTTCTGTCACACCACAGAGCTTCTGTACAGCTTCTGGTACTCCTTTGTGATCTAGCATCTTGACACTCTCAAGGGTTTGCTGAGATGCAGAATCTATAACAAAGTTGCACCTTTGGGCATCCAGCTTTCCTGTCACATAGAGACTATGTGTGCTTGCCATTTTACACTTAGCTGTTGGAACTTTCACAATGGTGGCTGGTGGGCGTCTCTCAGCACCAACCACTACTGGTTTCCCGAAGCTGACTTATTGTTAGTATTCTTCTTACACTGGCTCCTCATATGTCCTTGCTCTCCACAGTTCCAACAACCTTTCTGGGTAGCAGCCTTTCCTGCCACAGCATCTTCCCTGTGTTGAAGTTTCCAGCATTGAGCTCTCTTGTGCCCAGGTTTGTGACAGTGCCAGCAAAGCCCCTCAAACCTCTCTGAAAGCTGACCTTTTCTGGCCTTGAATTCTGATGACTGTACCAACCTTGGTACCTCTGTGTTGGACTTAACATAGGATTCGAATTCAAGAGCTCTGGCCATT